AGGAGGGACTGGCGCTGGTGGGATTTGGAGTGGATGTGACGTGCTGACCACTTTGAATTGTAGACGTGCTTGTTGATCGTGTTTTCCAAAGGAACGTTCCCAGAGGTGAGCGCTCGTTTTTTCTTATCCTCGGCCCTTTCACTTTTCCGTTCCATTACCCCTTCTCCACTGCACCTATCCACCCCGCTGGCGATATCGCTCCATCCCCTCCGATTCTTCCCTCCCCCCCTCCTTTCTCCTTTGCAAAAACTCTACAGAGGCTGATGGGATTTTCCATCCACGCAGGTCTACGTCCCCACAGTATTCGAGAACTACGTCGCCGACGTCGAAGTCGACGGCAAGCACGTAGAGCTGGCGCTATGGGATACAGCAGGCCAGGAAGACTACGACCGGCTCCGCCCGCTCAGCTACCCCGACTCGCACGTCATCCTCATCTGCTTCGCTGTCGACTCCCCCGACTCCCTTGACAACGTCCAGGAAAAGGTGCGTTCCCCCCTCTCTTTTTTTGGTCGGGGATGGAAACTGACGAGATGGATGGTGGGGTGTGTGTCTGTAGTGGATCTCGGAAGTCATGCATTTCTGCGCTGGGCTGCCGATTATTCTTGTTGGGTGTAAGAAGGATCTTAGGCGCGATCCGCGCGTGATTGATGAGCTGAGAAAAACGAGCCAGAGGCCCGTTACCCCGGAAGAGGTGTGTACCCCGTTCTTTGCCCCCCTCCCCCCCTTGTTCCGCGAAAAAAACGGTAGCTGATGTGGATGGTTCTTGTCAGGGCATGGCAGTTGCACAGAAGATTGGCGCGAAGCACTACCTCGAGTGCTCGGCCAAGTCGGGCGAGGGTGTGCGTGAGGTGTTCCAATATGCGACACGTGCCGCGCTGCTCTCCCGGACGAAGAAGAGCCGCTCGAGCAAGGGCGGATGTATCGTGCTCTGATACGGATCATGTGGAATTTATTGGGCGCGGAGGGGGGGTGGATGTGTTCGTTGATGCGGGTGCTGAGGACGGATGTGGAGGACGAGCCGGGATGGGGAGGAGGAAGACCCGGCGTTTGCTGGATCGATCGTGCCGGTGACTCTGACTTTGGCCCAGCTCACCTCACCTCGTATTCGAATTTGTGCCCGCCCCGCCCCCTTCGTTTGCTATACTGTGCCCTTCAGTTGACGTTTCCTGTCTGCCATCCCTTTACCGTCTACCCTACCATACACCACGCACATACCCGTTGCTTATGACCCCCCCACACCCGAATGACCCTCCTCCATTCTGCTATCACGCATACCGCTCATGTTCATCTCTCATTCCATCCTTTCTGTGCGACTGTTGTTTCTTGTCGTCTGCAATTTAACTCTGTTTTTTTCGCACTCGTAGGTGCGTCATGCATGGAGGCTAATGGTCTTACCTAAGTCGAGGGTCTGGACGGCGGAGGCAGATAAGATTCTTCCACTGTGACGTCACCTCGAGGGCACGACTTTACCACATGCGCCGCACGTGTGCCTCGCTCCTCAAGGCCTCACCAAGCATTCCATCCAGCGCCCCCTCTTCTCACTGTCACTGTCAGAAGATCTCATCTAATCATTTAACAAGACACCAAACCCCCACCGTATCCGAAACCGTACAGCGACAATGGCACACGTAGCCACCACAGCAGCCGCCGTCAACGCCAACCCCAATCCTGCCCCATCACCCGCGCCCGCCCCATCACCCGCACCCGCACCCGCCCCGCGCAAAACGAAGTCCTCTCCTAACATGTACTACGACAACCTCGGCAACGCCTCCCCGCCCCGGCCCTCGCCCTCGTTCACTCCACCAGGGGCTTCAAGATGGTCCGCCTCGCCTCCGCCGCCGCCGGGGCTCGTGGCGCAGCAGCCGGGGGGATCGAGGAGGATGGAGGTGGGTGGGATGCCTGGGGAGGTGCCGTCGCCGGAGCGAAGGGAAGGGGAAGGGGAACAGGGGCGGGAAGGGGAAGAGGGAAGGGGAGAGAGGGGTGTGAGGGGTGTGGCGAAGAGGTTGAGAGGGGGGTGTATTCCTTGTCCTGTGAGTTCTTTCTTTGTGTGTGATTTGAGGCTGGTGCTGATGAGGGGGTAGGATGGCTCAATGTGTTATATTATTCCGATCCCGTGTTGCTGTTGAGTCTTGCGATGGATGTGAGCTGGGAGGAACGGACGTTTGTGGAGATGGTATATTATGTATATGTGGTACATTTACGACTAATTTACGAGCATGATATATGGACGTTGGCGCTATGGCATTTTTATGTTGATCACTTCACTAAGGTCATCGCGCGCCCTCGTATCGTTTCTGGACCGTCGGTAGATACACATGAGACCTTCGTTTGGCTACGTATGGACAGTATAACATCCCTACACCACCTCATGCTTTGAGTAGAGAGTGCGCGGAAGAAAGGGAAAGATTTACCGTTCCCCGTCCTACAAAATATCGACCAGTGTACGTCCTGGTATTCGACGCATCACACGGAGACGTCCCGCAGAATATATGTGTTGCATGTTCTCCTCAAAAAATGCCCGGATGCTGCGGTTCGATTGATACCCTCCAATTTTCATCACACGAATCACGCATGACGGCGGCGTTCCGTGCCCTCCAACCAGATATTCATCGATGCGCCTCCATTCGGGCTTAGTCTTATCAATAGCTCGGACATCGGCTAGGCCGCACAATTCCCCCGCGAGGAAGAAGGTCGCCCCATCGAGATGGTAGCCATTCCGAAGCGACTCGCAGAGGTTGGCTACGTAGCGAAGATCCGCCAGATGCTGCATCGAAAACGCGACGTGTCGTAGATTTTGGAGCCTCTCCAGCTCGAGACGCAGTTGGGGGGAATCGACAGGGAATGCTTCATGACTTCGAGTATCAGTCAATGTGTTTGGTAAGAGTATAAGCTCTGCTCACCACACTTGTTGGCAAGAATATCCAACTCTTCCAACGAAGAGTTTGCAACGCCGAGGAGTGCTTTCAGCCCGATAACATCGGACTCCTTCCGCAGGCTGACTTCAAGTTTCCGGAGGCCCGAGGCATGAAGCGGGGAAAGAGGACTCAGGAACACAGGGTAGAGCAGATGCATGAGCTGTTCGCGCACGAGGAGGGTCTGGAGAGAGCCTTGACGCTGGGTATCGATGGATGGAGCGGGGTGATCTGTGGTATCGAATACAATATCATCTAAGAGGGTCGTATCTTCTACGTCCAGTTTTTGGAGGGAGGGGACTGCACAGAGGTAGGAAAGTGGGAAATTATACATGTATGATAGACGGAAGTTGCGCAGGGTGGGGAATCCGAGGACAGTAGATACATTGTGCCTGAATATGTCGGGTAAATCGTACCAATTTGCCCATTGGGGGGTGCCTTCGATCCTTAGAGACCGCAGTCGATTCAGCTTATCAAGAGCTGCAAAGGAAATGTCGGAAGACGGTTCTAGACTCTCTATCAGGACCGAGATTGAGTCCACGTAGGTGCTGAGATGGTTGCTAGACATCAACGAGCTTTCTAGGGCTTCGTTCCGCGCAGCATCTTTCGGATGGCCTAATAAAACAGAAAGCGACCTGTACAGCAATTTCTGAGCCGTGTTGCAGAAGGAGGATGACACTGTGCAGCATGCGACGAGTGTGCTTTGCGCGTTGGGGCCGTCGAGAGTCTGGATGATCTTATCGATGAGTTCTTGAGGAAAGCTCGGGTAGACGGACATGATCAGTGCGCTGAATTCGAAAGATGTCAGATGTTGGATCCTGCGCCAATGACTTTGGAAACGAAACCTGTCTGTCGACTTGATATGACTTGTGCTGAGACGACGATGACAACAAGAGGGCGGATGCCAAGCAGATGCTTCAAGCTAATGATGCCTTGTGACGTCAATTCACACGACCCTTCAAAGCCCTACTCACTCGATAGTCGAAAGACTGATGTTGGCTTGACTTATGCGATGGTCCATGTCGGCTATGGGCTTCAATTTCTTATTCCGGGCGTGGTTATTGAAGGTGTGATCTACTTGGTTGTATCTTGTCGGTTCCAGTATTGAAATAGTCGTTCAGCAGGTTTGAGCGAGATGTATCATAGTGCCAGTGGATGGTGTCGCGGTTGAGGTGTGGTGGGTGCTTCCATTGATCGCTCGCGATGGGCGCTGTTCAGTGTGGGGACCACTCAGAACTTACAGTGAGCGATTTGAAGTGATTTTCCCCCGGAGCTAGCCGAGCATGATCGTCCGCCCGGCGCTACCTGAGTTGTGAACTTGAAAGTGCAAATATAATCGTGGAAATCCAATGTTTGCGGTGATAATTTCACGGCCCACGAAAGAAACTGTGGAAATCTACGGACTGCCGTGCAAGCGTGCAAAAGACCGTTTTTAGTCCTAGTGACGTCTATACGAGGCTCACGACGTGGAAAATGGTATAGGGTCGTACAGATGTACTTGCGACAAAACGGGCTACGAGATCCCGCGAGATTCAATTGGGTCTGGTAGACCTATCAGTTGGTCGTAGATGAGAAAACCTACATCGATATCTTGTCGGGTGCCTGAGCTCGTGCCTGCAAATATCCTTTGAGAACAGAACCAATAAACAGATCCTTACGCCTGTCTTAACTCTGGACTCGCGCACCACCATCTCGAGCCCCGATTTCCGAACCTTCCGTGATGTTTCGAGGAGGAGCCCTCGCTTCCCCGCCGCCTGGTGATCCTTCTATCCGATGGATGCTCGGCTCTTTGATGTTAGGCAATGAAGATGTTATACCACGTTCGACATCTTCGAAGGAGGAGGAGCATAGCCTGGACTAGTAAGGGAAGATCCTAAAGACCGTTGAGGATATATTGAGGACTGACAAGGTATGGCTTGAGCGGAGTACACACATGTCCGTGGTATACACGAAAATGATACCGCTCTCGCCCAACCAACTTCGACGGGCACACAAAATTCAAGAATCAGGCAGCTTTAGAACTGCACAATCACATCAAAAAATATCAAAACCTTTGAACCAGAAAAAGTATGCGGGAGAGTCCTCCAGCGACGCCAGCAGGATTTGAACCTGCGCCCTCAAAGAGGAACAGATGAAGGGTCCATATTTTCGTGAAAAACCATTCTAATCTGTCGCCGTAACCACTTGGCTATAGCGCCGTACCATCTTGGGTCTGAACAGCGTTGGTGGCCCGTGCACTCGCTGAACGCGGAGGAGAACCAAGATGCTTGATCAAAGATCGCGAGAGTTCTGTTGAAAGCGAGAAGAGTGGGTGGAAAGGGGTGGAAGGCGGGACCGGGCTGTTTGACGCGGTGGTGCTGGTGGTATGTATCCGACCACTCTTTCGGTGCTCTTGAGCGGGACAGGCTGTGGATGGGAGGGGCAGACCGCCAAGATCTCGTTGGCCACAAGTTTGAAGTTGGGTAAGTCAACGCATGTCCGTGGTATAAACGGGAAAGGAACCCACTCTCGCCTAACTAACTTCGGCGGCAGACAAGTTTCAAGCATTGGGCAGCTTTGAAGTTTACACTGTATGGCAGTGTACAATCACATCGCAAAAAGCACACGGGCTTGAAGTTTGAACCAGGCAAAAGTATGCGGGAGAGCCCTCCAGCGACGCCAGCAGGATTTGAACCTGCGCCCTCAAAGAGGAACAGATAGTGCGAAACTGTGTCCAGATCATTCTAATCTGTCGCCGTAACCACTTGGCTATAGCGCCGTACCATCTCGAATCTGATCAGCCTTCTTGCCCCGTGCACTCCCCGACACCGGAGGAGAATGAGGGATCAAGATGTTGAGCCGGAATTGGAGGCGGGTGGGGGGTTGGAGATGGTGAGGGTTCCATTGGGAGGGAGAAGAGCGGGCACATGTGGAGTCGTGCAGAGGTGCGATAACTTTAAGGGTAGGCAGACAGAGACGGAGGATAGGTCGTTTTAGGGAAAATGGTGCACAGACTCTGTACCTCGAGGAAGAGAGACTGGTGAGCACGCGAGCGCTGTCATTCTAGGAAGTGCCTTGGTGTTTCATTCAACCGAGAGGAGACGTGCGTTGATGACTGGTGGGTGTTGGGATTCGTGACTTGTAAGTAGTCGACGTTGAAAGATCCTAAATTCTAGAAGACTGGGTACGTACCAAAGCAGGAGAAGCTTCAGAAGCAGAAAGGCCTGCGATGGGCGCAGTCTAAGGCCAGGGTGGGGGACATGAAGCGAAGAATCAACGAAGAATTTTGTCTTACTATCCTTTTTAACGACCACTTGTGAGTTCCCAAAGCTCCCTGGTACGCGCTGCTGGTGATTCGATTAGGACCGTTGAGCTCACTTTGAAAGAGAATGTGTATCAGCCGGAAGGTACCTGGATGGTGGACAAGTGATCGTACAAGGTGTATTTACACGGGCGACAAATTCCTACTTCATTGACCGTGAGAAGTGTGAAATCATAGGCTGGGGATGCCTTTTCTGCTGACACTCAGCACTTCCTTGCCCGCGATGATATCGACAGCGATATAGCTGGTGAGAGCGTCGACGAGTTGAATGTTTGTGACGATGAACAAGATGATCCATATGGGGTATGATGGGATTCACCGCCCAGATTGTCTTGGCAAACGACGCTAACAAGCGGTCGGTCCTGTCCGCATCATCACATTCTTTTTCCCTCCTCCCCCTTCCAAGCCCCCAAGAGCGCCCTCCACCATGCTCTTCCCCTCCCTCCTCGGCCTGGGCTTCCTCAGCACCGCCAGGGCAGTCACCGTCTACGGCCAAATCCCCTTCGGCCAGACCAGTGGCCTCGCCACCGCAACGTACACCGGCGGCGGCCCCCTCCCCACGGGCAACTCGACGCTCAACGCAGCGTATGATGAGACGATACTGATCCCGCCGCAGCCGCCGCAGGACCAGATGAGGGAGTTTACGTTGAATTTGGCGGCTACGAATGCCAGCGTGCCGAATTTGTCGATTATGCAGCATGGGTCGTTCTATGGGTTCTCCATCGAGATGTCGGTGCTTACGCAGCTCAGTGAGTGGTTCTCCTAGGCGTGTCTTCCCAGCGCCAATGTTGCTGGCTGCCAACCATATACACTCTCCTTACATTGAATATAACGCTAACTGCATATACACACAGTGGGCAAGAACGCGTTCGTACCCCCTTCCCCCCTCTCTTCATGACCCCCCGACTTAGACTCATCCTCCCAAAGCTCACATATCCAGGTCCCCTTCCTCAACTTGATGGCGCAGATCCAACAGCGGGCTGGGGGCGTGCACATCCGCATGGGAGGGAACACGCAGGATTTCGCGTATTGGGTGGATAGCATTCCGAATGGACATGCCACGACGAAGGCAGATCACGATACGAAGAACCCTGTAAGTCGTTCTTTTTGTCGTGTCTTTTTGTTAAGTCGTGGAGGTGTGCTGCGGAGGCAAAATGACAGTCGAGGTGTATGCATCCTAGGAGAATTATGGGCTAAGGCTATGGTGGCTCAGGCGCTAAAGACGGGCCGGGCTACGTCAGCATTGAGATGGAATCCGTGTTTGGGGTCCAATGGCAGCATCCTCGTCTCCATTTCTTTTGCCTCGAGCGTCCACTCCCTACGTCATAACTAACGTCCCCCCCAGACTCTCACCCCCGCCGTCCTCTACAGCGACGAACTCTTCCACCTCGCCGCCAACATCTCCTCCCTCGTCAACGTCCGCTGGTACCTCGGTGCGTCCGCGTCCCATCCTCCCCCACCCTCAAAAACGCGCGCGGCCTTTAACTAACCCCTCGTGCTCGTGTTAGGTATCCCGTTCAACGACACGAATTGGCGCCTCACGGTCGCGGAGAAGGGCCAGGCTATGTTGGGGGACCATCTCATTGGGCTTCAAGCCGGGAACGAACCCGATTATTACCTCGCGTACGCCCCCCCTCCCCCCTCCCCTTCTGTATGCTGAATGACCCCCCACCCCATCTTCCCCTGATAGCCACGGACACCGACAGGAGCCCTACGGCCCTAACGAATACTCCAACGAATTCGCAGCGCTTGTCAAAGCCGTGCAGGACAACCCGAACATCCCGATTAAGAATATGCTCATCGGCCCTAGTCTTGCCTCGGGCCCGTGGACGCCGGAGCAGCTGTTTGATACGGGGTATCTTGAGAAGTTTAAGGATAGTCTTTCGGTTGTTACTATGGAGCAGTACGTCCCTTCCCTTCCGCTTCCCCCATACCCACTAAAAGCCGTGCGATTGCCGCAGCTACCCAAGCAACAACTGCTTCGTCCAATTCAACGTCGGCACCTACGTCGACCCCCAATCCACCTTCCCCCAATTCCTCTCCCACAACGCCGCCCTAAACCTCGTGCAGCCCTACCGACACTCCGCGGAACTCGCACGGGGGCTGGGGAAGCCCTTCGTGATGTTTGAGACGAACAGTGCGACGTGTGGGGGCTTACCCGGGGTGTCGGATAGTTTTGGGGCGGGGTTGTGGGCGTTGGATTATGGGCTGACGATGGCGGCGGCTAATTTTTCGGGGGCGTTGTTGCATATTGGGGGGCAGAATGTTTATTATAATGTATGTTCCTCCTCCTTCCCCTCTCCTTCTCTCTTCTCCTTGTCTTGGTGGGCGGATACTGATTGTGGGGTGGAACTTGACAGCCGTTCACGGCGCCGCCGACGAACCAGAGCTCGTTCAACCAATGGACAGTCGGGGCCATCTACTACTCCGTCATAATCGTCGCTGAGATCTTCGGCAAATCCAACGTGTCGCAGATAGTGGATGTGAGCAATAGCGGGATATACACGCCCTCCTATGCGATATACGACGGGGGGGCGCTGAGTAAGGTTGCGCTGTTTAATTTTATTGATGATCCGAGTGGGGGGCATGATGTTACTGGGACGGTGACGGTGGCGGGGGGGCAGGTGCCGCCTCAGGTTTGGGTTAAGTGAGTTTTTTGGACATTTTTGCAGAAGGTGAGGAGAGGAACTGATGGGTGGGGTAGGTACTTCCTGGCGTCGTCCGTGTCCGTCAAGACCAACCTCACCTGGGCCGGCCAGACCTACGGAAACAAGTTCCACGTCGACGGGCGTCCCAAAGGCTCTCTCAACATCACAACCCTCCCCTGCAACACCGGCACCAACACCTGCTCCATCCCGCTCAAAGCCCCCTCCTTCGCGCTCGTCTTCCTCACCGACCCCTCCCTCCCCAGCGCGGGGAATGGCGGGAATGGGGACACAGGGGGGGCGGTGACGTTTGAGACGACGGCGCTGACGAAGACGGTGAATACGGCGACGGTGGATCCGAGTGTGCTGGCGACGTCGAATGGGCATTCGGGGAAGGAGAGGCTGGGGATGGGGAGTACGAGTCCGGGGTCGATTAGTAAGGCTGTTGGGAGGGGGGTGGGGATGGTGGGGGTGGTGGTGCTTGCGATGGGGGTGGGGGCGGGGGTTGTTTTGGCTGGGTGGGCGAGGTGAGGTGGGGTGAGGCGGGGAGTGTGACTGTCTTTACACTGGATTCTGGACCCGACCGACAAACAACGCATGAAGCATTTGCAATTTCACGTATGCAATGCACTGATATTGCTATCACTCGTATCTACAGACACTGGATGTTCGTTTCGCCCATCTCCCTCGTTTATGGGGCCAACGTGGACGAAGGGTTTTGTTTGATATATTCTTTAATACCCCTTCCTTCTTCCGTTCTCTTTGTAAATTTTAATTGCCTTAGGGAATAGACTTGCTCTCTCTTCCGTGAGGTCTGGCCGGGGCTCATATTTGCACGCTCATTGCTTTGTGGTCAGACCATTCCCAAGGCCCCTGATGTCCACGAAACGCCATAACATTGGGGATGATGCACAGCTCACAGAACTTGGAAAAACCCAACCAACACCCCCACAGCCACCGCCCCCACTCCCGCAGCCGACCCCATCGCACTCAGCGCGCCATTATTACCCTTGCCTCCGCCACTCCCATCCGCGACGGTAAGCGTGTAGTAAGGCACCGCGGACCCGGTGTACGTCGTCGTGCCCGTGGGCTCGCCCTTCTGCCAGTGCTCCTCGACGCAGGCGCCGCCGCCGCGTCCGTCGAAGGCGCAGCTGAGCTTGTTGCCGCCGAGTTCCTCGGGGCGCGTGGCGGTTGGGTTCGGGTCGTGGTGGTATAGGAGGTGGGAGGCGTCTGCTACCAAGGTTCCTGCACGGGGAATTGTGTCAGGAATCTGCCAGAAACCTCGGTGGACCAAAGTTCAAGCTTACCTTGGAGGGTCACGGGCTCGCTGGTGTACGTGCTTATAGGCGCAGCCTGCGTGACGGTGGACCCGCCGCTCGTGAAGGTCGTGCCGCCCCCGTTGAGCTGCTGCTCATAATACACACTCGCGATGATCTCGTTGAAGTAGGTCGTCATCCCGTCCGCGCCCACGCCAATGGGCTTGAACGTCTCGGAGGCGCGCGGGAATTGGGAGGTCCCTGTCTCTACGAGGGGCAGAACGATGGTGGCGGCGTGGCATGCTGGTGGGGTGGGTGGGGTGTGTTAGCTTGGGCGATGAGTGACTCGGAGGGGGTTCGGTGGGACTCACTGATGAGAGGAAGGGCGAGGAAGGCGGCGGAGGAGGTGAGCTTCATGGCTGCGTTGATATTAGTAGCGATTCGTGAGATGGGATGAGGAGGGGAGGGGTCCTGCGCGCGATGACCGCTGCGCGCTCGTCCTTTTTATTTAAGAGTTCATGGCTGTGAATTCTTTGAGTCTAATTTGATGGTTGAT